GCACTATGCCTTGCTCCGCCTCCTTGGCCTTGCTCGCCCGGGCGCCCCCTGATTCAGGGGTTGTTCTCTTCATGTGTTCAGTTGGATTGGTTCAAACCCAAATATCCTAGCTTAGACTTAGCTCCAACCTTGTTGGCCAAATGGGGCAACCAACTTTGGTTGGTTGGCCACCACCCCACTACGGTTGGTTGGATGGTCCTTCCTCCCACTAGCCTACTTGGTCTTGGTGTCTTATGTGCTAGGTTTGGTGTTCTTCTCCAACCTTCTCTCCCTTGTATAACTTTGTGCTCTCTTGAGCTAATATCAATCATTTCTTACTCAAGTTTCTACAACTTCTAGTTTTCTTTCACTGCGGACTAGACGACCTGAGGGGGGATGGAGGAAAAGGTAGTCAGGTGATTTAGGGTTATGACCAAGGAAGATGCAGGGAAGGGTGCGAGGGGCAAGCTTTCCCATGGAGCGGGAGCGGTCAGAGGGATGAATAAGGACATATGCCTTTGAGCCCTAGACACGAAGAGATTAGACAACAGGCTTGTCTTTTGTCCACAGCTCAGTCAGGGTGGTGGAAGGGAGAAGGGGGTGAGGGTAAAGGTTAGTAAGGAGGGCGGCATGAAGGAGGGCGTAGCCCCTTAGAGAAGGGGGGCAGGAGGCGTGGATAAGAAGACACCGGGCTGTTTTGGTGATCTCTCGAACACGACTCTCAGCCACACCGTTCTGCTGTGGGGAGTGAGGGAGGGTGTAATTCTGAAGAATGCCACGAGACTGACAATAGGAGGAGACTTGGTTGTTAAGGAACTCACCACCACCATCAGAGTGAAGGTGGCGAACACGGCGCCCAAAATGGGTGTTTGCCCGCTCGAGCCAGGCGATGATCGCAGCCGGGACGTCCGCCTTCGTCCGAAGGAGAGAGACAAACGAGTACCGACTGTGATCATCAACGAGCACGAGAAGGTAGCGATGACCCTGGCGAGTGGGAGAGGGATTAGGGCCCCAGAGGTCCATGTGAACAAGATCAAGTGGCTGTGCAGCAGCGGAGGGGGAGCTCCGGTGCGGCTGCTGCTTGAGCTTGCTCTGAACGCAGACAGTGCAGGGGGGGGCAGGGGATTTGGGGAGGGGAGGGAGAGAGGAGGGGAGACCGTGGAGGAGACCGGAGGAGACAGAGGAGCGCAGAGTAGCGAAGTTAGGGTGACCTAGCCTATGATGGAGGAGGATGGTAGGGTGGGAGAGGGAGCGACATGAACAGTCAGAGTCAGGGGGGCGGGGAGGGAGGGGTGGGTTATTGGGAGGGAGGGGAGGGGGGGGGAGGAGAGAGGGAGAGGCGACTTGGCAGGTGGGGGGGCGGGGAAGCCGTAGGGTGTACAGTCGGGAACGAGGACAGAAGGGAATACGAGAGAGAAGGCGACCTATAGCAGTATTGTAAAAGGCACAGTAGTTAGCACCACGTGGAAAGACAGTGGTGATATTGGCTTGTTGGAGGGACCTTTGGGAGAGGAGGTTGGTGCGTAGGGAGGGAATGTGGAGACCAGTGATAGTACCTGAGGGAAAGAGAGGACAGGGAAGGGTGGAAGTGTTGTGACAAGGGATAGAAAAACTGCTGTCAGCACTGAGGAGGGAGGTGGGTGTGGGGAGAGGGCGCAGTGTACCAGCATCACGAAGGACAGTGTCAGTGGCTCCACTGTCTAGGACGAAATCAAGGGTGGAGGAGGGTGAGGCAGAGTACTGGAACGAAGTTTCATTAACAGAGGAAGGGTACATGGGAGATGCAACAGATTCAGGTTGACCTAGCAAACCGACAAAACCAGAAGAGGGGAAAGCGGTCACACTGCCACCTGCAGACGGCGCTGGAGATGCACCCGAGAGATGGGCTGCGGAGGCAGCACTCCCGGCAGTCCAGGTAGGAAAGGGCTGCTGCTGGGAAACGGGAGGAGGAGGGAGGAGGGGCAGCTGCGGCTGTAGGTCGAGCTGCTGCTGGAGATGCTGGAGCTGCTGCTGGAGTTGAGAAAGGAGAAGCTGCTGCCCATACTGCTGTAACCGCTGCTGCTGACTCCCAAGCTGCTGCTGCTGCTGCTGCTGCTGCTGCTGCTGCTGCTGCTGCTGCTGCTGCTGCTGCTGCTGCTGCTGGGGAGGGGCAAGGGCCTGGTGGGCCTGGGTGGAGGAGGAAGGCTCATAGAGGGGAGAGGAACGGACTTCAAGGGGAGTGGGGCGTGGGTTGAGGGCAGACCAGCGAGGAGGGGTGCCGGTGTTGCCACGGGCAAACCACTCATCACTGAGTGCCTTGAAGCATGTTTCTGTGGCATGAGTGGTTTGGCCGCAGCGCTGTCCCTGAGTGGGACCGTAGCGAGGCAGGTACTGACAGGGAGGAAAGGCAGCTGCCGCACCGCGACCCGCACCACCGCTACCACTGCCACCGCGACCCGGTGATCCACCTCGTCCACCCCCACGCCCACCACCACGCCCACCCCCACGCCCACCGCCACGCCCACCCCTGCTGCTGCGCGGCTGAGCTACTGCGACTGTGGAGGTAGAGTGGCAAAGGATCTCGGCTTCGGTGGTGATAATCCACTGAGCGACTTCAGCAGGGGTATGGTGCTTGGAGAGAAGCTACATGTAGGCAAGCTTGTGAGCGTCGAAGGCAGGTGTGAGGCCCTCGAGGAGGTGGCAGCAGATGACAGTGTCCGGGTACACCACATCGAGTGCCGCAAGGCGCCGAGCAAGGTCTAGGACACGGCGAATGAAGGCAGCGACGCCAGAAGTGGAGTCCATGGAGAGAGTGCCGAATTCTTTGATGAGGGCGTAGAGGGTGGCAACGTCATGCTAATCGAAAAGGTTGACGAGGAGTCGCCACAAGTGGGAGGAGGAGGTAGGTGAGAGCTCGCGTTTGAGGGAGGAGGGGACGGTGGCAAGAAGAATGGCAAGCGCGCGCCGATCGGCAACTCGCCAGGTAGTGATTTTCGTGGTGTAGTCGGCAAGGTCTGCGGTGTAGGTGTCAAGGTCCTCCTGGTACTTGCTGTAGCGGGCAGCGGCGTCGTCATAAATGCGCTTCTCGTCCTCGTAACGCAGTTGCTGGTGCAGGTGCTCTTGGAGATTGGTGCGGTAGGTGCGGATGGCGGTCTCCGAGCTCTGCGGATCGTTGACATTCGGTGCGAAGGTGGGAGGATCACCAGGGGGAGAGGGCTCGGCGCCAGGGTGGGTTGGGACAGGTCCAGTGGGAGCGGTGGGGGCCACGGGCTGAAGTCCACCACCTTCCTGGAAGACAACCGAGCGAAGGTTGTAGCCGCTAATCACAACAGAGGAGAGGAGAACCTCGACCGAGTGAGCGTAGGAGTGCCAATTAGCAGCAGTGTTGTCGGGTAGCAACTCGAGTGCATCAACAGTAGCAAGGTCGACGGAAGAATCCGACGATGCCATAGAGACAAGGGTGGGTGGAAACTAGGGCAGGAGGAGGATGGGGCGAGGGTACTGCTGCTGGTGGCGCTGCTGGTCCTGCTACTGGTGCCGCTGCTGGTCCTGCTGCTGGTGCCGCTGCTGGTGCCGCTGCTGGTCCTGCTGCTGGTGGCGCTGCTGGTCCTGCTGCTGGTGCCGCTGCTGGTCCTGCTGCTGGTGCCGCTGCTGGTCCTACTGCTGGTGCCGCTGCTAGTCCTGCTGCTGATAGGATGGGAGGAGGAAGGGAGGAGCGGAAGGTGGGGGAAGGTGGAGGAGGAGGAGGGGGGAGCGATGTTATGGGGGAGGCAGGGGGAAGGGTGCTGCTGTTGGCGTCGCTGCAGATGCCGCTGATGATGCTGCTGTGGGTAGGGACGAGGAGGGCAGCCCTGTGGCAGATCCGAGCGCGGGAGGAGTGGATCTGGGCGCGGAAAGTGCAGATCTGGTCACGAGGTATGCAGATCTGGGCGCGCAGAGCGCAGATTTGGATGCGTGGAATGCAGATCTGGTAACGAAATGTGCAGATCTGGGTGCAGGAGGAGTAGATCTGGGCGCGGGAGGAGTAGATCTGGGCGCGGGAGGAGTAGATCTGGGCGCGGGAGGAGTAGATCTGGGCGCGAGGAGAGCGGATCTGGGCGCTGGGAGGGCAGATCTGGGCGCTGGGAGGTCACATCTGGGCGCTGGGAGGGCAGATCTGAGCGCTGGGAGGTCAGATCTGGGCGCTGGGAGGTCAGATCTGGGCGCTGGAGTTGCAGCTCTGGACGTGCGTGGAGCAGTGCCTTCGAGGGCTGCGCCTTATGGGGCGCGCGGGGAGGGAGGACAGCGCCTAAAGGGCGTGCGAAGTGATGGCAGCTCCGTTCTAGAAGGCTAGATCTGAGGGACGGGGAGGAGAGGGTGGCCTAAGGACCGAGGGATGAAGGCGTGAGCCATTAGCTCATGATACCATGTTGAAGGAGAGAATTGATGAATTGAATAATGAGCCAAGAGGCCCTTTAGTACAAACAATGAGAAAGAGAGAGATGAGAGGGAAGCTTACCCTATCGGCCAATATGTTGACCAATGGGTGAGCTTGCTTGTGGCCCAAGCAACCACAAAATGTGTGTTGGTTGGGATTGGTTGAGTTAAGGACCAATCCCAACCAACCACAAAATGTGGTTGGAGGGTACACTAAACAACCCCCCAATTTATAAATGTGCTACACATCTAATTCTAGCCTATGTATGCTGTATAAAATATGAAATTACAACATAGATGTGCTGTGACAGCCCAACCCTGACTGAGACTCAGTGCTGTGACTCAGCCGAACCCTGACTGAGGCAGCCACCCCGAATTGCATGTTCCTCTTCTGTCGACATTTTCTCCCCGGGAGACTCCCGCTGTTGTACAAGGCATGATAGAGGAGCTGTTGTGCAAGGCATGATAGAGGAGCTGCCAGAGGGCGGGGATGGAGGAGTGGCAGTATGCAGACCTGAGGGTCACAAGGGCGTGCGCAGGCGAGCCAGTAAAGCTCATCAATCGAATGCTGGACCTCGCCAAGCTGCAATCTCCCCCCTCTCTCCCTCCTCCCCCCTTCCACACAGGCATGATAGAGGAGCTGCTGGAGTCGCGACTGGAGGAGTGGCAGGTGGCAGACCTGCGGGTGGCGAGGGCGTGTGCGGGCGAGACAGTGGAGCTCATCAACCGAGTGCTGGACCTTGCCAAGCTGCAGGCCGGCCGGCTGCAGCTCGAGACCCTCCCGTGCTGCCTGCGCCGTATCGTTCGCGAGGCGACCGCACTCACTGCCTCCGATGCGCTCACAAAGGAGTTGCACGGTACGAGCCGTGTGTTTGTTCTGCCTGCACACGGGTTCCCAGCCATTGCCTGCACACGGGTTCCCAGCCATCGCCTGCACCAGCTGCTTTCAAGTTGGTTTCACACAGGCCGTGTGTTCCATTCCAACTCATTGCTGTTTCTTAAATTTGCATTTTCTTGCCGTGCGCCATGCTGCAGTGACATGCCACGTGGACAAGAGTGTGCCAGCTGTCCTCATGGGAGATCCGACTCGCCTCTTGCAAGTCGTGGGAGAGCTCATGGGTGGGTGCTGGGTTGTTGGCAGCCTCGCATAATGCTGCTCTCAACTGTGCATGTGCTTTGCATGTGCTGTATATATGTGTTAACACAAATCTACCTAGCACTTCCCTAAAACAATCCCCTTGCTTCGTTTGTGACAGCCTGCAATACCAGTCTTCATAACCTCCCTTTCTGGTAAGACTCAATAATAGCAATCAGACCGGCCTTGACCTCAGCCCTTAACGACAGTCCTGTTCACCGCCCTCTTTGCAGCACCTATATTGTACAATTCCCCTTTTTTTTTCTTTCTTTCTTTCTTTCTTTCCTTCTTTCTTTCTTTCTTTCTTTCTTTCTTTCTTTCTGTCTTTCTTTCTTTCTTTCTTTCCTTCTTTCTTTCTTTCTTTCTTTCTTTCTTTCTTTCTTTCTTTCTTTCTTTCTTTCTTTCCTTCCTTCCTTCCTTCCTTCCTTCCTTCCTTCCTTCCTTCCTTCCTTCCTTCCTTCCTTCCTTCCTTCCTTCCTTCCTTCCTTCCTTCCTTCTTTCTTTCTTTCTTTCTTTCTTTCTTTCTTTCTTTCTTTCTTTCTTTCTTTCTTTCTTTCTTTCTTTCTTTCTTTCTTTCTTTCTTTCTTTCTTTCTTTCTTTCTTTCTTTCTTTAACACCCTTCGCGCGTCTGTCCTCTTCAACTCCCTCTCGCCCACAGCCCACGCCATTGGCAACACCACACGGGGCCACATAACCTTCCATGTTGGCTGCATCCCTCCCTCGCCTCCCCTCCCCGCTTCCGTCAACTGCTTCGATCTGCCCGGGCCATCCAACGCCTTGCCTGCCACTCACCCTCCCTCAAGTCCCGGGGCCTCCTCCACGTGGCAGCAGCTGGCTGCCTGTGTGCGCCGCTTCCCTCCTCCCACCGCCCTCGCATGCCTCCCTCGGATCCAAGCGGGAAGGCCGGGCGGCGGGGCCAACAGCAGAGGGGGCGAGGAGCAACGGCAGATGGGGTGGGTTGAGCGCTGCTGCAGGAGTGTGGCAGCGGCTATAGGCATGGGCGCAGTAGGCACGGGAGAGTACGAAGGATCAGGTGGGAGGGGAGGAGAGGAGGCACAGGGTGGGGCTGGGAGGTTGGAGGAGGAGGTGAGGGAATGGGTGGAGGGGGCGTGCAGGGCGAGGGAGGAGGGGGAGTGGATGGTGGTGGTGGCATGTGAGGACACAGGTGGTGGTATACCACCAGAGGAGATGCGATGGGTGCTGGATCCACACGGGGATTCTCACCATGCCGCTCACACCTCTCATGCACCTTCTGCAGATGCTGCTGCTGATGGTGATGGTGATGGTGATGGTGACGATCAGAATGGCCAAGGTGTCAAGGTGAGTAAACGCACAGGAGGGCTGCTTCCTTGGTTTGTCGCTGCCAGTATTCAAGCCTCTGGTTTATTTATTTGCTGCCAAGAAATGCCCGTGGACATTCAGAGACATGCGATGACAAGCGTTCAATCGCTCCCTTTTCCCTTCCGCTTCTCCCCTCCTCTGTGCCCGTCCACCCTCCAGCAGGGCTCTTTCTTTCCCTTCCCTCTTATGCGCCGAGCCAGCAGGCCAGCATCCACGGCTGCTCTCACGCACGAGCAGAAGGCAGCTGCTCGCCCCCGCTGGACGCCCTACCCTGTTCGCTTCCTGCTCTCCACCGCCCTTGTGAGTGACACCTCCTCCCGGAGCTTAGGTTTGGATTTGTTGGATCGGATATCCAGTTGGAATTCTCCCACAATGTTTTAACGAATGTGCCAACTGACCATGGAGATCTGGTTGGATTCCCAATCCCGCTATCTGCAACAGCCAAAAACATAGTTATAAACATCTGCAATCCCGCTATCTGCAATCCCGCTAGAAAAGATCCATAGAATCGCATCAGCCAAAACAATAGTTATAAAAAGCGTCCGGCAATATATAAAGGTTGCAAGGGCCAACCTTGCTGTGGCCGACTTTGGGTCAACAAAGGTTTGGCGTGAACCGTAATCAACCAAAAGGCATCCAACTGTGGCCGAGAAGTGCATCCAAAAGGCTTGCCTCGGGCCGAGCCTTGTTCAAATCGGGCAGGCACCCAGCTCGATCAAGGTTGAGCCAGGCCAGGCTTTAAGCCTATCGCCTTCCCTTGGAACCCTGTTGGCAACAAGGCGTTTGCAAGGCGTTAGCAACCAGACTTGAAACGAACCAGGCTGGTCGACAGACCCAAACCTGTCCAGGTTTGTCATGGGCCAAGATTTGTGCCTGGTTCAACCCATGAGGAACTGGTTTGTCGTGGCCCGAACCAGGACTGGTCTTTCTACTCATGCCTACTCTCACCAACTGTGAACGTGATACATTGTTAAGCCCCCTCTTCCCCCTTCTCCCCGTCCCCTCACCCACACCTCGTTCCCTGTCCCTCTTCACCCCTTTCTCCCCCCTCGCAGGTGGCTGAGATGCGGGGAGACATGGCAGTGCTGTCAGACGCCGCCACAGGCACCACCATTCTGCTGGCGCTGCCCTTGGGGGGAGGGGAGGACGCTGACAGCTGCGGGGACGGGAAGTGCGATGAGGAGGGTGGTGGGGAAAGGGATGGGCGTGGGTCGGGATGTGAAGGGGAGTGTGTGGAATTGGCGAGTGGCACAAAGTCAGGCATGCCGCAGCAGGCATCTGTACAGCAGCAGGAACCCAAGCAACAGCAACAGGAACAGCAACAGGAACAGCAGCAGCAGCAGCGGGCATCACGAACTCACTCTCACCTCAAGCCGCAGGCCAGCATATCCGATGCCTTAAAGGATGCAGGAGAGGCCAAGGGGGAGTTGCCAGCGGTGGCGGCAGTGGCAGCAGGGAAAGGGGAGGAGACGATACCAGCGGTGGTGAAGGCGGGGCGGCGACCAGCACGGTCGCATTCGCTCCCCAAGCCTCATTCCCACACGGAGGGCATGGGAGACGTGGAAGGGCCGCTCCCAGCATTGGCGTCGGGGCGGCGGACAACGCGGGCGCACTCTCTCCCCAGACTGCATGCCCAGATGGAGGGAGCGGAGGAGGCGGAGGTGCTGGTGCGAGCAGTGGTGGCGGGGCAGTCGGTGGCGGTGGTGGATGACAACGCGGTGAACCGCATGGTGGCACGCAGAACGCTGCAGGGCTACGGGGCGCACGTGCTGCTGCTGTGCTCCGGGGAGGATGCGCTGCAAGCGCTCTCCTCTGCCACGCCCTCCTCCGCGCCCATCCACCTGCTGCTCCTCGACCTCCACATGCCGCCCGGCATCGACGGGTGAGCTTGGACTCCTGCTGTTACCACTCCTGCTATTGCTGTGTTCACATTGCTGTTACTGCGTCACTATCATTCCTGCTATTGCTGCTTTCGCCATTGCTTTTACCGTGCCATTATCGTTCCATTGTCATTTGCTTTTAACTTTAGCTCACATTCACCATAGCCACCATCGTAGTTTTATTTGGGTTCATTCACTTTCGCCCTTCACTGTAGCCCTTCACTGTAGCCCTTCACTGTAGCCCTTCACTTTAGCCCTTCACTGTAACCCTTCACTTAAGCCCTTCACTGTAGCCCTTCACTGTAACCATTCACTGTAGCCATTCACTGTAGCCCTTCAATGTAGCCCTTCACTGTAGCCCTTCACTGTAGCCCTTTACTGTAGCCATTCACTGTAGCCCGTCACTGTAGCCCTTCACTTTAGCCCTTCACTGTAGCCTTTCACTTTAGCCCTTCACTTTAGCCCTTCACTGTAGCCCTTCACTTTAGCCCTTCACTGTAGCCCTTCACTTTAGCCCTTCACTGTAGCCCTTCACTTTAGCCGTTCACTGTAGCCCTTCATTTTAGCCCTTCACTGTAGCCGTTTGAAGTTGCTCCTCCAGCCGTCAATTTGTTTTCTACACCCTATTGCCATCCTGTTGCCCCCCATTGATCCCCTTCACCCTAGATTCGAGACGGCATGTCGAATCCGTGCCATGGAGCGCACACAAGACGCACAGCAGGAGGTAGGGGCACACCAGGAGGCAGAGGCACAGCCGGCTGCCAGTGATGCTGCCAATGCGGCAACACCAATAGGTGCAGCTGATCTGAATACGGAAGCAAGTGCAGCAGGCGTGCGCCTTTGTATCATAGCACTGACAGCTGACTTGGATGTGGGAGTGAAGCGAGCATGCTTGGAGGCAGGGATGGATGGAGCAGTGAGGAAGCCAATCGTGGCACAGGAACTCCTTGCAGCACTCATCGCTGCAGGGTTTGGAGAAACCCACAAACCACTTTGATGCATAGATTGGAACGTTGTTTTTTATCAATCAGCTAACCACCCAACTATGCCTTAGAATGGACGCAAGGATCATGGTTCCTGCTGTTCAATGGTCCTTATCAAGCTATCTCTATGACTGAATTCTGACGAATACTAGACCAGGGTGTGTAATGCTGTACGCGGCCTTCAAATGTGGCGACCGCCTAATTTGATCCACCCAGTTTTCTCATCTGGGGTGTGAAGTGTCACCTTGAGTGTTTTCCCTCCGCTTAGTACTGTACGTTCGCCCCATGTGGCGTTGAAGTTAAGGCCTCCCTTAAGGACATCTCTATTCCTGCGTACCGGGATTATGGCAGTGTTGGGCTGAGAAAAGCCCTTATGATCTTTTCAAGGCTAAGATCTGGAGTAGAAATGTTGTAATTGCGGAAGCGTTTAGTAAACTTTGTTGAACTGTTGAACCACCTTGCACTAGTGTGTGAGAGCAAGATGAATTGACTATAGCAAGGTAATACAAAGGCTTTTATAGGATTACAAGGAATACGAAAAGGTACAATTAAATGTTTTTGCTGTTGCGGTTCGATGCAGTGACGACTCGGGCAACTGCTCAATACCGAGTCAGTTGTTAGTCCTTGCTGTCGCACTGTATTTCGTCGAGTCAAAGGTCAGCGACCTTTGACCTTCGCGTAACCTCCAGCTGTTACGTTTTAACCTCCTTGGTTGACTCGCGCGTTGCTTCACTGTAGTCTGCTTCGTTCGTGTTATTACTTCGATACTTCAGAAGCGGTAACTATTTGTTTCCAACACTCCCATTCGCTTCTGGAGTGTCGCTGCTGATGACGTGGCCTTGTCCAGTCAGCAGCATGCAATACTCGAACTTCTGCTTTACGAGTTTCTTGGTCAAGTAATCTGCTGCCATCTCAGACGTGGGACAGTAGGATAGCTCGAGTGTTCCTTTCTCGATCTCGTCCTTCACGAAGACATACCGAAGGGCGATGTCCTTCGTTCGATTCGCGAACCCGCTCTTGTTCGCTATGCGAATTGCGGATTGATTGTCGCAGAAGACTGAGAAGCTGGGTAACTGAGTCAGGGTGATGGTGCGCCGTGCTCTGTCCCGGGTGATCTGCAAGCCAAGATAGCTGCGTAGTTCACCCAGGTCAGCGAAGGTATGTCTCTTCTGCAGCTCCGACTTCACAAGGGTCAGTGCCTCAGTTTCAGGAGTGACAAATGCCAGGTCGTCGACGTACACGAGGACGTAGAACGGCGGCAGTGACGTGACAGTGCGTAGAAATAGCGACGGGTCAGCAGTAGAAAGAGTAAACCCCAGAGCCGCAAGTGTAGTCCTCAGTGTGTCGTGCCACTGGCGGAGACCGTAGACTGGCCGCTGAAGGCTCCACTGGGTACCTGCAGGAAACGACCCAGTGAAGCCAGGTGGGCGGCGCAGCCAGATCTCCTCGTGCAGGCTGCCCTGCAAGAAAGCTATCTTGAATTCCACAGAGTGTAACTCGTAGTCACGTTGAGCAGCGACGTGCAGCAACACCCGAAGAGTAGTCATCTTTGGGGTGGGGGAGAAGGTTTGGAAGTAGTCGACCCCCTGTCGTTGACTGAAGCCTCTAGCAACGTAACGCGCCTTGAAGGCAGGCGAAGAACCTGGCGGTCGCTTCACCCTGAAAATCCACATGCCATCGACTATGTTCGCCCGAGACGGGAAAACTGCGTCAACGTAGGTGCCTGTGGACTTCAAGGATGCCATCTGTGGACTTCAAGGATGCCATCTCAGCATCCATGGCTGCCTGCCACTAAGAGGAGTAAGGACCCGTAATTGCCTCTGCGTAAGAGCGCGGGGTCAGGATGTCTGGTGCATCCGGGTCTCCCTCAGGGGCAAGCAGCATGGAAGCGAAACGAGGTACAGCAGCTGCAAGACACTCAAAGTCCTCCTGCTTGTCCTCAAGGACGTCCGTGCCAAGAGCACACTCACCCCCGACGGACGGAGGACTGGCAGACTCAGACTCAGCAACAAGAGCAGTGGCGTAGTCTAGACGACAGGTAGCAGCAAAGTCAACTAGCTCAGCAACGAGGGCAGACGAAGAAGTGGACTCAAAAGAAGGGTCAGTGGCGAGGAGACGAGAGACAGTGGGACTGGCAGCACGAGCAAGGTCAGACTTAGGGTCAGGGATGGCAGGAAGAGAGGACTCAAGAGGAGGCGGCAGAGGAACACGCAGTGGAACAGAGGAAGGACGAAGTGCCATAGCGTGGGTGTCGGGGACAGGAGGAGGATGCGGACGAGAAACCCTACGACCAGTGCAAACAGTGGAATTGGCGAGGCAGGACGAGACTCAGGCTCACGACGCTCTGTAAGACCTCCAGTCTGCTCAGTGTAAGGAGAGGGAGCAAGCAGTGGGGAGGCTGGCTGTAACGGCGGTTGTGACAGGTCAGGCGGCGGACACGGCAAGGGAGGAGTAAGGCTAGCAGAAGACGGGAGACCAAGAACCTGCTGAAGTAAGGGAAATAAGTACGGTCGCGGCCGCACAGTGCCTCCAGCACCAGTATCGCCAGACACAGCACCCCCAGCTCCAGCTCCTCCAATGCCAGCGCCACCAGCGCAAGAGCCTCCAACTCCAGCTCCAACAGCTCCAGGGTCTCCATCTCCAGCTCCTCCAGCTCTTGTGCCACCAGCGCCAGTGCCTCCAGCTCCAGCGCCTCCAGGCTCTGCAGGGTCTCCAGCTGCAGCTCCTCCAGCTCCAACGCCCCCAACCCTACCAGTCCCGTCAGCTCCAGTACCCCTGGTATGAGCATCTCCAGGACCAGCAGCTGCAGCACCTCCGGTACCACCAGCTCCAGCAGTAACTCCAGCACCTCCAGCTCCAGTGTCTCCAGTGGCAGGGTCTCCAGCTCCACTCCGAATTCGGGTGTGCTGAGCAAAACACTCGCGCAGCTGCTGCGGGGAGAGAGGCTCCGGCCGTGGAGACAGTCGTGGCGAAGCACCCGCAGGACCTCCAGAAGAAGCAGAACCCTGAGGCTCAACACCCCAAGACTCCGCACCCTCAGACTCAACACTCCCAGGCTCCACACCCTCAGGCTCAGCACCCCCAGGCTCCACAAACGCAGGCTCAGCACCCCCGGGTTCCGCACCCCCAGGCTCAGCACCCCCAGACCCAGCACCCTCAGACTCCGCACCCCCAGGCTCCGCACCACCAGACGCAGCACCCCCAGACGTAGCACCCCTAGCAGCACCTGAGCCGACAGCTACCTCAACAGGCACAGTACCAGGGAGAGGGTCTACCTGAGACACACCTGAGGGAGCAGGACCCTGGGGGGGGAGGTGTTAGAAATTGTAAATTTCTTATAACCGCCTGCTAGTGTAGCTACTGTATAGTGTTACTGTTATTGTTGGTGGTGCACCATCTTGCCCACCCTTTCTCCTACTTGTACCTTCCTTTCTAATCAATCATCCTCTTTTGTCAAACCTTCCTCTCCATACTCACGTTTCCAAGCCAAAACCCTAGGCAACTAAGCAGTGAGTTATGAGCCTAATTTGACATGGTATTCAGAGTAGGCTCGTTTCTAGAGCCTTCATCTTTGGGCCCACCAATAGCTTCCGCTATGGCACAGTCCGTCAAGCTGCTCGTCGCACGCCCAGGGCGAGCGTCGGTTTCTGCCCGTCGCGCGCCCCGGGCGCGCATCGGTTTTTGCCCGATGCACGCCCTTGCTGCGCGTCGGTTTCTGCTCGATGCGTGCCCTGGCTGCGCGTTGGTTCCTGCCTGTCGCACGCCCTGCGCGCGCGTCGGTTCCTGCCCGTCGAACGCCTCGGGCGCGCGTCGGTTTCTGCCCGTCGCACGCCTCGAGCGCGCGACGGTTTCTGCCTGCCCGTGCGCCCTGCAGTCGCAAGCGCAGCTCATACCCCGCCCCCCCCCCTCCCCCCTCCCCCCCCCAGATGGGGAGGGGGGGAGAGGGTGTGAGGGGGTGGCGGATGTGCCTCAGCAGTAGCAGCTGCCGCCACGCCTCCTCCTCTCTCACGGCTGCGCGTGCTGCTGTGGGGGGAAGGGGAGAGAGGGTGTGAGGGGGTGGCGGATGTTTTTCTGCTGCAGCAGCTGCCGCCACGCATCCTCCTCTCTCACGGCTGCGCCTGCTGCTGTGCGGGGAGGGTGAGGGGGTGGCGGACGTGTTTCACCAGCAGCAGCTGCCGTCACGCCTCCTCCTCTCTCACGGCTGCGCCTCCTACTGTGGGGGGAGAGTGAGGGGGTGGCGGATGTGTTTCAGCAGCAGCACCTGCCGCCACGCCTCCTCCTCTCTCACGGCTGCGCCTGCTGCTGAAGGGGGAGGGTGAGGGGTGTCAAACTTATATCTGCTATAGTCTATTTAGGCTGTAGTGGGGTAGTTCCTAGAGGGTACAACACTTTTGTGTTGTCTATTTGTACCCACCTCATTTCTAGTTCAATCATTCCTCTGTTTCTTCACATGGTATAGAGCTAGTTCAATTTCTCGTAAGGGCCCACCACTAAAATTAAAATTAAAAAAAAAAATCCTACCTGCCCGACGCGCGCGTCGCGCCTGCCTTTTGCGGCCCGTAGCGGCCCCTGCGCCTGCCCTTAGAGCCAGCGCCGGCCCCCAAAGCAGCCGCGTCGCGGCCTGGCCAGGCGCCGCGTAGCCCCGTAAGGCCCCGTAAGGACCCGTCAGGCCCCGTTTGCGGCCCCGTCCGGCCCCGTCAGGCCCCGTTTGCGGCCCCGTCAGGCCCCGTCAGGCCCCGTAAGGCCCCGTCAGGCACCGTTTGCGGCCCCGTCAGGCCCCGTCAGGCCCCGTCAGGCCCCGTTTGCGGCCCCGTCAGGCCCCGTCAGGCCCCGTAAGGCCCCGTCCGGCCCCGTCCGCCCCCCCCCCTTTGCGGCCCCCGTTGCGGCGCGACTCGCGGCCCTGCCCCGACCCTGTCGCGGCCCTGTCCCGGCCCTACTGCGACCCAGCCCCGGCCCTACTTCGGCCCTGTCGCGGCCCTGTTCCGGCCCTGCCCCGGCCCTACCCCGGCCCTGT